TTATTTATTGTATGTAGGATTCCTTTGTAAGAATAACATGTTTGACGTTGCGATCAAAACCTTGAGAATTATGGAACAAGAAGGCGTTCAACCGACTTCGATCAATTTCCTTAGACATGTGATCCAACCTCTTGCACAGTATAATCATCCCACGGAAGCTTGGCGGTACCTGAGTGGTTTCAGAAGGAAGGCCGTGCACCCTCGAAATATATATTCAAAATATTACACCCTCATAATTGAGGCCTTCATTCAGCGGAATGACGTGAGTTCGGCGATGAAGGTATTCGCGGACATGGAAGAAATCGGCGTGGACTTGGACTCCCGGGCAAAGGAAATTTTTATCTGTACGCAAAAGACGTTAAACATCGTAAATGGGAGTCCGGAAAACGAGGCAATTTTGAACGAGTATAAAGTTGTCCAATAGTCATTAAAGTAGTTATCGACGCGTCGCTGGACATCAAGTGTTCGATGATGCAAGTGTGCAAGTGTGATCACTTGTCAAAATAAACTTGTTTCCTCATACCATATATATATATATATGTGTGTGTGTATATATATACCGTATATATACATATATCATTTTTTTTTCGCATTTCTTTCATATGACACGGTGTAACGTTACCGAACCAAACGATAAGTTAAGTTTGTAAAGTCACTGACCCTCACGAGTCTTGATTCCTCCTCTTACCTCCTCTGAGACTTTTCTTCATTATATTATTTGACGATGTCCGGTTGTTCGCTCGAAAAGGTGCTCCCGGCAGAGTGTATCCACGAGATAATTTCTCATTTGACACACGACAGCTTGTCAACTCTCAACAGTTGCATACGCACCAGTCGTTTGTTTGCGCGACTATCAGTCTTTTTCCTCTATAAGAATCCTTGGAAGTATTTCGAAATTGAAGAGGAGGAAGGAGAAATTTATAATAAAAGGGATCTCAATCCAAAAGGTGCTCTACTGCTCAGGACCTACTTGAGTTGCTTAAATGAGCCGACAAAATTCGAGAGTGCCATTTCTGAAACCTTTCCTAAAACCATAATGGATTACATTTCTTTTACACGTCATATTAACATTCCCATGCTATATAATTTCCTTGAAGTCAGACTTGCTACCATTGTTGGTTTGGCCGATAGAAGTAAGAAGATTCAAGAAGCTTTTTCAGCTTTATCAGAGGCTTTTAGCAAGCGTTGTGTCACGGTAGAGTCGTTGGTGACCTGGAAATCCACTCCTGATATCTTCACCTCAATGATTCTGAGATTCCCCAATATCGCGCATCTGGACCTCCTACAGTATGAGAACACTGATGAAACCATAAAATTTATTGGTAATCATTGTAAAAGGCTTTGCGTATTCAAATTTACCGTCTGCAATTGTTCCCCCAAACTTTTGTCCAACTTCCTGGAATCTCAAGGCGACGGATACCTCGATGAACTTTGTATCAAGATTACCACAGATCCAAAAAAATTATTGACCGGATTGTCTCCGTCTGTAATTGCCAAGATTACCGACTTGCGTATTAACGGGCTTCACATCGATCATGCAATGGATAATCTAAAATTTCAGAAATTACGATCTTTAGATCTTAGCGATTGTCATAGCATGGATGAGAAGGCATTCAGCGCATTGCAATTTGGACAGATGATAACCGAGATCAATCTTTCCGAGACAAAAATATCAGAAGCCGGTGTCATCTCCCTTGCGACTCATTGTAAACACAATCTCAAGAGATTAATCATGCTACCGTGCGGTGCTGCCGATTCTGTTGAACAAGGTATCCGGGCGCTCGCAACCCATTGTCCGAACCTTGAAGAGTTCAGGTTGGACGTGATTCGTGTTGAGATAAAAGCTATCATGGAATTGATTCAATCGTGTAGGGGGATACAAATTTTGGTTCTTGGCGGCGTGGAGATAAACAACGACGACTTGCTACTTGATGAACTCATGGATTCAATTCGAGTCAACATCGGGGAATCAATCAAATGTCTGGATTTGCGCGAGTGGAGTGTTAGTGAAAAGGCGGTGATCGATTTGACAGGGAATTGTCCTAATCTGGACAAATTGGTTCTGAGGTATTGTCGAAATGTGAACGACAATTGCATCAAGGCGATCAGTAATCACCTGGCGAGAACTCTTCGACACCTTGACGTTGCAAATTGTCCCCTAGTAACCCCGGATGAGATTATGGCGGCCGAGGAAAAATTGGTTAACTGTCGCATAATTCACGCCTCGAAGTTCTACTGCATCGACTGAAAACACGCATTTCATTAATATTTAACTTTTTTTTTTTTTTTTTCTTCTCCTGTCCAGTATCATATTCCTGAATGCCTTCGTTTTTTTTTTTTTTTGAATTCAGAGGTTCTATTTATTCTTTATTTATTGTGTTGTTTCGAGACAAATCACTGAGTATACGATTTTTATGATGACTTTGATGGTTGATGATTTGAAGATTTATTACAATAATAAAAATTTTTTTGTTGTATCAATGCTAAATTTTGACTTTTGATCGTTTTTTTTTTTTTGCTTTTTTTCTTTCTTTTTTTTTTTTTGAAAAAAAAAAAAGAATAATATTCATAAAGTAGTTATGTATAGTAAAATAAAGTACTTTGCATATGCGAGTGCATTTGATATTGCAAAAAAAAAAAAAAATAATTAAAAAAAAAAAAATAATAATTAAATAAATAAAAAAATAAAAATAATAGACACAATTTAACGAACCGACTATAGATGATGTAAAGAAATATATATATATATATACGTATACAAAAGAAAAGAGTAGCACTAAGTTACGGTTAATAGGAGTTTTACAGGAATATCAAATATTTTTATGTGAATTTGTTTTTTTTTTTTTTTTTTTTCTTCGTCTTTTTTTTTTATGGTATCCCAAAGTCTCTCGCACCCATTACCCTACGATTAACATTGTTATTACCTTCTTGATACCACAACTGTCCACTGTTTAAACCCCAGATGTCTGAAGTTGACGCACCCATGTTACTACCCCCAGCATTATTATTATTGTTATTATTATTATTATTATTATTATTATTATTACCACCACCACCAATAGGTACCGTTTCACTATCGTTCGTTCCAGATCTTCTTATCGGAGGCCATTCACTATCACTCGTCGTAGTTCTATGCGGTAGACGAGAAGACGACCCGGGTTGATGTTGTGACTGCTGGTTCTGTGAAGACTGCGACGGATGAGATTGTTGGGAAGTCTCTACAAAAAATGGTATTTTTTTTTTTTTTTTTAATGCAGATTGCTTTTCAGTTGTACTTACACAACTTCATTTGCTTCAATTTTCAGAGACCAATAAGGAAAAAAATGCTCTAACCTCCAGGCAGCGCCGAAAATAGGGAATTGGAAAAATATGATGTTTCTGTTGGCGCAAGGCTCTGCCGCCTGTTTGTCATTTGATGTGATTGATCATCATTCAGCAACGCGCTGGAACTAACGATATTACCAAATCCCGGCGGGGGTGACCTCGTACGCGTTTCCAGACCATGAGCAGAGACCGATCCTCTTCGAGGACGTTGTATCGGTGGTGGCCGTTGGACAACCTTGACGTGTGCGTCCTCTGGATGTTGAGACATTCTACGATGACCAATAGGCGCCAGTGGCGTGTTTTGTACAACATTGGGACCTATGTGAGTTGTGGCTGACGGCTGACCAACGACCTGCGTACCCAAGTTGAATGCCTGCGGACCACCCAGAGGTAACCCTCCAAATGTACCAGGAGGTGGGTTGGCGTTTACTCCCGTCGATCCCATATTCCCGGTTCCCCCTATTACTGAATCATTCAGTAACGACAGATTCGTGGATGCGACAGAAGGTGGAACACCCGTGGAAGGTCCAGTTAGGTGAGGTGCAGCTCCGATGAACCCCCGAGGTGGAATCTGTTGACGCATTCCGGGATGGTGAACAGGGTGCATCGGCATCGGCGGCCCACCGGGGTGTGGGTGCAGCATTGGCCCTAAACCTGATGTGAATAGTGAAGACGCGGGATTCATCCCTGGTATAGTGTTCGTTTGTGGTGGAAGTAATTTCTTATTATTCGTATATACATCGTTCACAATCTCATTCGTCATTCCTGATGGATTTATGACACCGGTGGGTTGCCCAAATTGAGGTTGAGGCCCATTCTGATTGAAGATGGGATGCGGTGGTATGTGATTTGAATGATTCGGAGGTGGTGGTATGTGTGGATTCACGGAATGCGCAGGATTTATGGGATGATGAGGAGGAACAGGTATCCAATTGATCGCTCCGTTAGGCATCGTGACAGCTTTTGTTTGAACGACAGGTGGATTGTTTATTGGTGGCGGCTGAGGTTGCGTCGGTATGGGAGGTTGCCCGATCGGTGGGATCGTTCGTTTTCGTTCGGCGTGGCGTGCAGGATTTAAGATGGTGATTCGCTGCATCTCCTTCTCTTCCCTTTCCTTCCGCTCCCTCTCTTCACGCTCCCTTCGTTCTCTTTCCTCCCTATCCCTTCGTGCTCTCTCTTCACGTTCCCTACGTTCTTGTTCCTCTCTTTCTTTTCGTTCCCTTGCTTCACGTTCCCTTCGCTCCCTTGCCTCACGTTCCTTCCTTTCCCGCTCTTCGCGTTGTCTACGCTCTTTTTCCTCCTTTTCTTTTTTAGCCTTTTCCTCGCGTTCTCTGCGTTCTCGTTCCTCACGTTCTTTACGTTCCTTTGCCTCCTGTTCTTTCCTCCTACGCTCTTCCCTCTCCTTTTCTTCCTTCGCTTTCCGCCTTTTTTCCTCTTCCCTCCTCAGTCGTTCTTCCTCCCTTGCCCTTCTCTCTGCCTCCTTCCGAAGGCGTTCTTCTTCACGTTTTTTACGCTCTTCCTCCGACTTCCTTTCACGTTCTGCGCGCAATGCCTGCTCTTCGGCGAGCCTTTCGGCCTCCTTCCTTGCGCGTTCCTCTTCCTTTTGTTGCTTTAAGGCTCTATACGAAAAACGGGAGGCTAAGTACATTAATCAAGGGTAAGATTTTCCAAATCCAGAACACCTAGCAAACCTAGTTTTGGCTTTCTTTTTCTCTTTTTCTTTTAGCTTCTTCAACTCGCGTTCCTCCTTTAACCTATTTTCTTCTTCTAATTCTTCCAGTAACTTTTGCTGCCGTTCCTGAGCAACCTAAATTGTGAGGATTTCAGCAGGGCTTTGTTTTAAAAAAAAAAAGAAAAAGGAAAAGAAAAAAAGACAAGCACATGTAACTTGACACAAACTTTTTCTCGGTAAGCATTTAGAACTCTTTGTTCAAACATCCGTGCAGCAAATATCTGGAACATCCGTCGACCTTCTTCCATGCGCTGCTCTTCTGTCTGTGTATCCTGTTATTCATTAAAAAGTTCCGATTATTGATGTGACAAAAGGAAAAAGAAGGAATAAAATAATAATGGATAACGAGATTTGAGATAGCTCGTGCCTCTTCCCCCTCATCCTCATACTCGTATTCCTCTTCTTCCTCTTCATCATCGAAATCACGTTGCTCCATTGCTGCTTCCTCTTCCCGTTGCATTCGACGTTCAGCAAGTCGTTCCATCATCTCGAGAAACTTCTTGCCATCATTTTTTAAAAGATCGTCAGCTACGGTTAAAATACCTCCTAAGTCAGCGACAAACATTAGTAATTTATCCTAAATCAAACGCAACCCTTTCCAGGTGGTCATCACGCACCTTTGACGGTCAAACTATTACCAAAATTAAAGAGTTCTTTCCGACTATCGCTACCCTGCTCGCTGCCTTCATAATCATCCTCGTCATCCTCATCATCCTCATATTCCTCATCATCATCTTCTTCGTCATACTCAGCATTGGGGTCGTTTCGGTATTCAATATTCGAAGAACCAAATTGCTGTTGGTTAGCATATAGCTCCAGTTCTTCGTAATAGGCATCATAGAGGGTTTCTAACTCTTCTTCTATAGCGGTCCTGCATATATGATACGTGCACATATATATATATATTCATAAATACGTGTTCCTTTTTTTTTTTTTTTTTGCTCTCTCCCCTTCTAATTTTTTTTTTTTTCTCTTTTACAGATTAACTTGAATCAATACTTTTAAAATTTGCGGAGACATTTCCATGTTATTTTACAATTATAATAAATACTAATTCAGAGAATTTGACTCTTTTGAAAAAATGACTAAAATAATTTTTTATACACAATCTTTTAAACATCTTCCCAAGCGATCCTAATAAACAACACTACGACCGACCACCCAAAAACTTTTAGCAAAACTAACCTCTTTCTGCCACACACAGTACAAGAACATGAATGTTTCTGTTGTTCCTTCATTTTTTTAAGAACGGCCTCCTTCTCGACTTTTACTAAACTTCTTCTTTCCTCTTCACCCAACTGTAACCAGAATTCCCTTATCCGTTGCCTCTCCTCATTGTTATTGGTATTCCAGATACCGTCTTTGCGAGATTTATGATTATGGCTATGATGAGAGTGGATATCTGACGTTTGGCTCATCGAGAGTGATGCCTTGTTCTTCTTCTTCTTCTTTTTTTTCTTTGCAGGAACCGGTACATGATGATTATCTCCAGCAATAGAATCTTTGCGTAAAGGTATCTCGGGAGATTCGGGATCATACCCGTCGTCATCATCTGCATCAGTGAAGAACTCATCATCCTCCTCTATGTCCACATCCCCAGCCTCTTCACCACTACTCATTATGTAAACTGCACTAGAATTTGCATGTAGATTATGGGTCCCATTAACAATATCAGGATCCTCAATGTGATCTGCGGGAGGTTTTCTTTTGCTCTTCTTTTTCTTCTTTTTTTTCGTAGTGCCATTACCGTTTTGTGGGTTATGGGAGGGGGCAAGTTCGCCAGGATCCCTTGAGGAAGGTGAAGTCGGAGTCATCGTCGTTCCGGAAGGCTCTTTTACGATATTCATACACTTTGTGCCTGACTTGTTATAAATTACGGTCTGCTTTGCATTAATTTGTTGCGGGAAGATTGATGAAGGGTGAGGCAAGTTTTCTTCAGGCAAAAAAGGTTGTGAGGTCGCCATCATAATTGCCGTTGCGTTTACTGTGGCGCTCTTTTCTACTTTTCAATTCTGACTTTTGCTAGGACTATAAATAGTAAAAAATAAATTCCAGGTGAGATGATTACTACCATAAAATTGTTCTAGATTTGGACAAACAGTTAAAGCTAAGCAATATTTAAGTTACGTAAGCACAAGGGTAGCTTACAATCACAGAAGTGGTCGAAGCGATAGTTTAGAGGATATTAAAGTCTCGTAGAATTATTCCGATCTTTAATAGCACGACAGGTGGTTTGGATTTTGCCTTGTGCTTTCTCCGGAGCCTTAATAAATTTTTTAGAACTAAACCAGGTTACGAAAGAAGTTTATATATTTTTTTTTTTATACTGATAAATCGACGATCACACATATGGAATGGAGTAGTATATTAAAATTAAACGGCGTTATCTAAATCTCGGATGAAACCTATTGCACTATAGTATATGATCATAGTGTGATCATGGATACGTATGATTTGTCGGTTATTGTAGGTGATAGTGGATGTTCATGGGGTGTCTACATAACGATAATAGCAACGAATAATGTAAAAGCAAATGTTAGGAAGTTGCATCCATTTTAACAAAAAATCATAAGAAATTGAATCAAGAAAAGATTGGTGATTGTTTGAAATAATATAGTAAGGAGTATTTGTTTTTGTAAGGTCAAGGGGAAATTTTGCATCGATAAATTTTTTCTACCTGCATTTTTTTTTCTGATTCATATTTTTTTTTCCGTGGTGATTATTAGGGATCAGTATCACGCAATTACCACTTGGAATTAAAGACCGTGACATTTTGATTTGTATAACAGTCCCATGATGATGATCAGACTGGGGATTTTATAACACAAGCCATTGTTGCGGGAAGGGTCACGCGGATTTGGATAAATTTGACTAAAAGCGCGCGCACCGCGTTAACATCCTTCTTTCCTATTTATAACGACCATAATGCAAGCGGAGGTTTTTAATGCGAGTTAATGCACCTAGCTCAATCAAAGTGCGTACTACATACATACCAACAATAATTTTT